GAAAACGATTCCCTTTCATATTAGATGAGTGCTGACAAAGTCTTCTGGCCTAGTGATGAAACGTCCGACAACAAATCTCAAACTTCGGAAAACACCAAACGACTATTACTTCAACACCAATATTACTGATGAAAGCGTCTTCATAAATAAGTGTGTGGTTCGCACATAACAGGTAGATTTCTGCTGAACAATACGCTGCCAGTCGCCATGTAGAAACCTTGTGATGGATTAGTTAATGCACTGAGCAACAGTTGCTAATGTTTTACAAACTCAATTTCAGTGATTCAGAGTGGTGCGTTAACTTTTAGTTCGAAGACAGTTTCACGGCAATAATAAGAAGACAATGCTTTGTATAGCAATAATATATTTCTGAGGTAATACATAAGCAGTATTTGGATGTCTTTCATAAGTACAACGATATGAACCAACCAGTCAACATCCAGTCGAACAAGCCAAGAGGAATAAGATAGTCACTTGTCAAGAGTTATTCTGTCCATAAAAGAATCAGTATTCTGCTTACTCCTTCACTGAACAACGCTTTACATATCAATAACTATTAAATGGAATAAATATATACTTAACAAGTTACCTTGCACTTCACAATAAGACAAGGATTATTATCCTCTGCTTAGAATTTGTAGGTAAAAACGTTTCTCATAGCGTAAAATGCATTTTGAGATATCTTGTCAGTACTACACCGAAAGATATCAGTAAAGTTTGGATGAAAGATCAAAAGAAATTGAATTCCTTCAACTTGACGTATTCACATAATCTTGTTTCTTATGTTTTTCAGCAAATGTTGATTTTCTAGAAATGAAGGCGATTGAAGCCAGCAAAAAACTTAGAAAAGCCGAGCGTAGGTTTTATTCCATCAGTGCTGCATTTACAAATGTTTACTCACCTATGATGACTACCATTAAGTCGGGGAACTCTAATGACTTAACTTCATATATGATCACACCAACTTGAAAAATTACTCTTTTATGCTCGTTGCAAAGTGTTTTATCTACATAGAGTGAAGTAATAATAATAATAATCATATCAGTCCATTGATTTCCTAGTGGAACATACGGCTTCAGTAGAACGTCGCCACTTCACTCTCTTCTCTGCAGTCTTTTCAACCTGGCCCCACGACTGCCCGTAACCTTTCGTTTCTTTCTCACACCATCTCCTCCATGTCACCCTCGGACACCAAACTGGTCGTCACCCATTTGGGTTGAACCCGACGGTCTGGCCTGACGTGTGATGTCTCCGAATGGTCTTCTCAGTGTATGCCCAATCCAACCGATCTCCACTTTCTTCCGCATATTTGTTGGGCGATAGGTTCTTGGTTGGTTTGCTGTCAGGCCAGAGTTCCTTGTTGCTTATTCTTTCTGGTCACCCATCTGATCTTCATTATCGAGTGAGCGTAGGTGGCAGCTGTTGATGATGTATATCTGTATTTTGTCTGTTCGTAACGTGCCAAGTCTCTCAACCAACCAGCATTGACTTGACTGACTTAGTGTTGAAAATCCTGATCTTGTTCACGCTTTACACTGAGTGCAGCAGATATCCAACCTGGTTTCAGATTGATGAAGGCGTATCTTGCTTTTCATGTGCTTGCTTTGATATCCTCATTTCTACCTGTGCTGTCTGTAGTTGAGACGATGCTGCTTAGGTGGTAGGTGAAAGAGACAACTTCCTTCAGATTTCTTCGGTTGATGATGGTGTTGTTGTTGTTGGTTGGATATCTCCATCACCACTGTCTTCTCTACGTTCACCTAAAGGAAGTCCCGTCATCCTTCGCTACCCTCCCTCTTCTGCCAACTTGTTGGTTTTCGCCTGTAGATCTTTGAGTTTGTGCAACAAGACATTAGATATAAATCGTGATCGGCGGCGAAATCCAAACCCTATCCTGGGGTCTTTTCACCGGTCAGTCAGCGTATGTCCATCTTCTCGCTGCTCACGGTTTGCTGCATGATCCAGTCCTGTCCAGTCGACCACAACCAGGGAGATCATCGGTGATAGCAGACTGGAACCTTGTCTTACTTTTGGCCTCACTTCAAAGGCATCACTCAGCTTTCCATTGTGTTGTGAATCACTTGGCATGTGGCATCATATAGCATATATCTATTGAATGAGGTTGGTAAAGGTTTGTGGCACTGAAACTGTGATGTTGAAGCAGCTGCCAAATTACCTCTTGGTCGACGCTGTCGAAGGCCTGTACAGAGTCGATGAATTTGAAGTGGAGAGTTGACTGCCATTCTGTACTCTGTTGTATGAGTCTGTGAAGCGTTTCCATTTGATCGGCACATGATTTGTACTTCATAAAACCAGTCAGCCTGCATGTTCCAGTCGTAATTTTGAATCCAGAGCATTATTCAGTCTCTCCAGGATGATGCGGCTTAATATTTTGCTTAGGGTGGAGCATGCTTCCGCGTCAGGCAAGACTTGCTCATGGAGCGGAATGTATATCACCCAACTGAGATTTTTTGCATGTAAGGAATTGTTTGTGACTTGCGGGGATGTAGAAACTACCTTGCTCACCATACTGATCTACTTCTCGACGCCAAATCCAAATCATTATTTTATGAATTATTACTTTGATGTGTTTTTTTCTCGATATTTTCACAGCATTTTCAATGTTGCTTTTAGTAATCGCTTATTTTAACATGGTAGCCATGATTTTAGTTCGTTTGGAACTGGTGAACGCGGTTGTCATTTGTGTATCGAACCTTAGTGCTTTCAGTTCGTTTTAAAACAGGTCGCGAATAAACCACGGATTTAGAATTGTAAGATTATCATTTTAAAAGAGGCATGATTGCGCCAAATTACTTCCAAACACTTTGTATAGGTTCCTGGTTAGAAAACAAAATTGATTTGTAGTATGGCTTGATTGTTACCTTGTTTTATCATGTGTTGATGTGAGATGTGTTAAATTCAATGACCACACAAAATTTCTTAGTGAAGTGGCGGCATAAAACTAACTGGATGACTGAGGTAATCTCACCTAGAATGCTAATTGTAATCAATTCTAGGTACAATGTTCAGTCATAGAAGCGTTTCTTCTTATATTTATTCCCGAATTCACGAATTTGAATAAAGCAAGAAGAACAATAGTAGCAGAATTAGCATGCATGCATTTCGTGGATTCTCCTCAGCTGCTTTACAACATATAGAATATAATGTTTATGAAGAACAAATGTTATACAACGTACTTTAATAAATCAAAATAATCGTATACGAATTGAGATGGAAGGTAACAGAGAATTAGGTTGGCCGCCATTGATGAAGTTGTGAAGTCTGGTCGGAGGTTAACTATTTATACAGTGATAGAATGAACATTCGAGAGAAGATAGGAAACAAATTATGCATATGAACTTATAGATAGGAGGGGTGTGTGGATAAGTTAGTCTATGTGCATCAGACTTAATACTGATAGAGACAGTCGAAAGTGTACAATTTATCAACTCTTGTTGCCTCCAACTGTATTTACCAATTCACATGTACACGCCCACAGTGAGGGTGTACTTGAATAAAAGTAGCATGAGTGGATGGTTAGTCGTATTACATGGAATCTGCAACCGTTTAATTACTTCCTTGAGACTAAACTTGCAAAATGTAATTTGCGTTGGAGACGTGCCCAAAAGTCCGAAACTGCGCCCGAAGTCGATTTCTGGAAACACAATAATTTGTCAAATGCACCCAAAGTGTTTGCTGGCTACGCCATAGTGCTTCGACGGAGATGCAAATATAAATTTGGTCTCGGGTATGCTTTCAAATACGTCTTGCTAAGGCTGTATCGCAACACCCAAAGAGGTTATTTTCTTATATAAAGTATAAAAATAAGGCGTATCGTGGCATACCCACCCTAATCAAAGGGGCAAGAACTGACTTCGATTGAAGATGATAAGGAAAACGCAGGAGCTATGGATAGATATTCTACTGAGGTTTTTACACAGGAATCTTCTGTGTACACTTATTCAACAGTGGAAGCATTGACATTAATATCGATCCAAATGATGTATTTCAGACATTAAGTACTCTCGATGTATAAAAATCAATGGGATCGGATGAGCTGTGCCCAAGGCTGCTCAAACAGTTTGCACTCTAGGCAGCCAGTCATTGACTACTATATTTAGGCTGTTCTTCAGTGAAGGAACACTCCCCTATGACTGGAAGGATGCCATAGTCACATCTAGCTACAACGCCTCAAGTTGCCACACTTTACAAAGAACAGGTGATATCAAAGTAGTTATAGTAGTTTGAGATTAAACAATCTGAAGATGAAGGTTAGTGAGATTATTCAAGCTTTAGAATATATCAAGCAGTGAATTCATCTGCGTGACTGGAAAATTTGTTACGCTTATGCCTAGTCACCGTCTGCCATGTCACATAATAGCTGAATTAGGTTTAGGCAGGAAAATGGTTACATGCGGCGAGACTAAGGCACGAGACAAGTTCATGAAGCCTTTGTCTGTTGGTTTGAATCGTGTAGGAAAATACAGATTTCTTGGTTAGGGTCCAACCGACAACAGGAACCGGTAGTTGGACTCTGCGTAACATGGCTCAAAATCGTTCTTAATGGCACAGATGTATTTATAAATTATCCTCATCTTGATCGTCATGCATTCAGTATGACGATCTCTTCTCCCTCTATTTTAATACTTTTTACTTTCTTTGACCGACTCCTCCTTATTTCTTTATTTTTATCTTAAGGCTGTCCGCCTTGACGTGGTCACTGTTATGCAATAATCCTTGGTCCCATGTAGACGATTTTAAACCTACCCTAGGAGACAACTAATGCATTACATTACCAAAATCTATAAAACTTATTATCAGAAATTAAAAGTGAACATTTTTCAGCTACTAAAGTGCTTACACAAAGTAGTAAGACAATGAAATGCATAAATTTTTATCAGTAACTTAGGCTGATCGACATCTGATGAAATAATTACAGATGGAGTGCGAAAGGTGTATGCATGTACAAGTGGGAAGAGAACACCGAACACTAAGAGTTACTAGTCTGATTCCACAATAACGGCATGTATTCCTGCAGCTTTTCTGGCTAGATAACGTTGATGAGCGGCAGTCAATTCTTCATCAGTAGTCACTCGAGGACGAGCCAGGATTACACCTGACGTTGATTTTTTACCTTCATTAACGTCACCAGTTTTTACGCCCGTTTTAAGTGGATGATCAGTCCTGCAAAAAATGTTAATAATAAGTACAAAGTTAAGGTAGGTCTTAGAGATTGCATCATAAACATAATCAGGTCTACGATGAGGTGATCTTAATTAATATTCCAACCTTGTATTAAACTTTTTAACCTTTATGAACCATTGCTATCAGTGAAAGAAAGAGAGAAATGTCATTATTTTACAGTTAAACCCCTTATCTTATTGCTTGCAGGAAATATTCTTGATTCGCTTAACATAGGCTTTTTAATTCATATGTGAAGTACTAACTAATAAAATCTCTGACGTAAATAAGATCAAACGATAAAACGCCTGTCATAAATAGGGGACAAGCTACGAATCATCTCCGAAATTCCAACAATGTAGAATAGCATCAACGCTAAATCACTGATAGTGATGGAAAGTGTCATATGAACATTTATTCATGTGGTGTGGTTTGTTGCTTTCAGTACCGAATACCTTCCAACCAATGGGTTCCATGTTCAAACTCGGTTCCATCTACTTTAGCCCGGATAACTGAGGAGCACCATAAACCATAGCACAGAAAGCTTGGCTTATGGCCCGGCATATAAAAATAGCGCACTAGGTATATGGGTTGCATCATAACTGTCCATTATCATTACACAGTGATGGCGATAATGCTCATTTATGGGAAACCCGTATCACTTATAGGAACTGAGATGAAGTAAATTGCCTCATTTCGGATAATCTTACCATTTTATTTACTTTTGAGTATTTATTACGAAATGAATCAAAGCGAACCTGAGCAATGTTACACAGATTGTCACTGTTTCCGACAAATACGTCGTCCAGAGTGGAGAGATGGAAAGTAAAAACTATCAGCAAATTTTTAAGTGCCACCGCATGCCTTATAAATAAATCATTGTTACTTCTGATTTTTTCGCGAGATATACGTACTCAATGTTTCAGCCGGCAAACAGAGTGCAGTCATAACATATACGAAATTTTATTATTGCGGCTGGAGAGATATTTTGATACCTTCTTGACTTCTTCAGGGAACTCGGAAGTGACCATAGAATGATTTTACTTTTAGTCTTTCTACGGTCAATCAAGCGTAGGCGAGTGTTGCAGGAGGACCGGAAATCTTCAAGTGACCCTTCCAACTATTGGTCATATAGTTCTGTGACCACTGTCACCTTTCGGGCAGGGACCGATAGGTTATGCGATACCTTCCCATGTCTACAACTTGTACTTAATGATCATCTAAGCGCAGTTGCGCAAAGTAATCAACATTAACGGTTGATATAAGATGAAGACAGACAGGCAAACAGAAAATATCAAATAATAACTCAACACAAGTGAATCAGTCTAAGTTGTCACAGTTCAAAGAGGTATGCAAAAAAAAGTGGTTAGGAAAAGAGTTATATCAAATTAGAGGTGTACGGGAGGAGAAACAATGTGAAGGTAAAGGTTAGTAAAAATATTCATGGTTTAGAAGACATCAAAGAGTAAAGATATCTGCAGCATTGTCACTGATTTTCAGCCATGTCACCAAGAGTTCCCGACCACTAATTCCTATCATCTCGGGGACCCCAAACAGGGAGCCTATCCCTCCTTACACGGCTCAGACCAACAGTGCGCTAGTGCCACGTCTTGGTATGACCACTCTGAATCCTCTTCCAATCTAATCCAGCTTCTCCCATCATAGCATGTCGAAGTAGGCGATGGATGCCTATGCCCAACACATGTTCAAGCCACCTCAGTCGCTGAAGATTCCCAACCTCATTGGCTGACCTGCTTAGTATTCTCCATCTAACCTTGACATTAATAACACTCCACCATACGAGAGCAATGCTACGAAAACACCTATAGTCAAAAATCTGTAATCATTTCATATCTTCTACTTTCACTGGACACATCTCATAGTCGTATAACAGGACAGAACAGTCTGCAGAGCAGTATACTCATCCTTTATTAAGTAGTCGGACTATTCGCCTGTGCCAGAAATGACACACGTTTCCAAATACCAAACCGGCCTGAGATTTCGTCAGCAACCAGATTGTTAGTGTTGATGCATTTCCCCAAGCAAGAGAAGTGGTCGATGCATACAACTACTCCATTTCACTAAGTTGGGAGTAGGTGCAGTCCAGTTTTGCAGCATCATCTTACATTTGACAGATGATAGCGAAACGGATGCCAAACACAATGATTGTTGCTCAGAGCATTCCAAAGACTCCGCATTTTGTCAGCGTATTCACCTAACACGAAAATGCCATCTGCGTACCTTCAGGTAAACCACATAACCCTCACTGAGTGGATTAACTCCTGTGAAGTCAGATGTACCTAAGGTTATGTCCATTAATACATTTATGACGAAGTTAAACGGGAGTGATGACAACCTGGCTCCGTGGCAGACATCATCGGTTGCCATCATTTCACATGACAACTCTCCAAAAGTCCTGACACGAGTAGACAGATTTGATTGGCATTGCATACTTGTTTGTTACTTCTTTTACAGGTAGACATTGCCATAGTACCTCACGGTCACCAGAGTCAAATGCCACCTCCAAGTTGAGAAATACGGTTAATGTCAGACGGATAAGACCGACGTAGAAGCTCGCACATAGGTGCATCGGCTTCAGTTACCACACTTCACATTGGTATACAAAGAACAGGTGGGTAGAGAAAGAGTAATAACAAAGTAGACAAGAATGCGTTAGAGGAGATAAAGGCTAACGAGAATATTTAAGCTTTAGAAGAAATCAAAGAGTGAGGATATCTGCGCTAATGTCACCGACCTTCAGCCATTTCACCAATTCTCAACCATTGATTCCAATCGTCTCCCCACATGGCTCTGACCAAAGAAGATGTAGACCACCTGGGTGGAGTCTCCAGGATGATAAGAATCAGTGGTTGAGGACTGTTGGTGATATAGCTGAAAATCGGTAACAATATCGCAAATGTATTCACTCGTTGACTTCTTATCGAATTCAATGTCATGGAGTTTCGTCGAGACGCTAAATAACTACGGACCCCAAGATCACGTGGAGTAAACTGATTCCCCTATGGTTGTCACATGAAACCTCTCGCTTCTTATACACCCCTAAGACCAGTGAAGTAAACCAGTCTGATTGGACTACCTCTGTACACTATATGTGACTTAGTACCCCATTTCTCAACTCAGCAATTTCCTACTGCAATTCTTGAGAATGTCGCACACCGTCAGGCCCAGCTGTTTTCATCGTTTCGGGTTTGAAACAGCCTTCTTAACTCCGGTGACAGTTTCAAGAACATCTATGTCCCATTCCGTTTCGAGATAAACGGTAAGCAGCTAAAGGGTTGTTGTGCGTCGGTTAAACTGTCCTGCTCATTTGCCCTGAGAGGTTAACAGTGCTCCATCTTTTTCGACTATGGTTTCATTAACCATCGTCTTTTTCTGTCCGTATCCTTAATAAGCATAAATAGTTGCCGAGTGTTACCCAACGCTAATGCCTTCTGAATCTCTCTCGCTTTCGCCATCCACCACTGCTCGCAACCATTGCGAAGACTTATTCAATTTACTTTGTAGTTGCTTTGCTACTCATTGTAGTCACAGCCAACTGAAATTTGTCTTCTCGCACCAATCAGCTGGAATGGCGTAGCAGAAATTTATTGACATTTGCAAACCTTTAGATGTAGGTTACCAACTGTCTTTGCTATTGTTTCTACACCAAAAGTAATGTCACACCAGGTTTCCACAGGACGAGCATTGCTATCATGCTCAGATAAATGCTTAGCTATCTCCTTTATAAATATACATGTGATGTTCTTACCTTCAGACGAAGTACACAAGCTTAACTGCCAAGCATTTTCTGCAGTCACCAGGGCGCAGAAATACACATGCCTGTGCTAACGCGTAATCGGAGTCTAAGCGAGTGTAATCCAAAAAAGAGCGGTATTCTTCCACCAGCGACAGCTAATAGCAATAGGATCCATCAGCGTCTATCGTTAGTTCGATGTCGGTGGACACTATTTGAGAGTGTCTCTTCTTATGTCTAAAGTTGGTAAATACTAGTAACAAATGACTGTCTGAAGAAAATTCTAAGGGTTGACGACCACTGTCGGTAAGTATAGTATGTGATTCGCACCACTAAAGTGCAAAAAATACTTGAGCAAGCTTGGCAGGAGCTTATGTATGCACTCACCTTTGGTGGTGAGCCGTTGGAAGTATTTCCATAATTGTGTGAGCGCTGATGGAGGTGTGAGTAGTGAAATTTCCAACTCCATACCGAAAGCCAGAGTGCCATACGGCAATATCGGCCACCTTCGGCGCTGTTGCAACATTAGTCTGACCGTAAAAGGTCGGGTTTACGTTTCAGTGCGATCAGTTCTGCTCAACGCCTATGAAATCTAGCCACTCCGAGCTGAGGATTTGCAACGACTGTGTGTTTAATCATCGTTGTCTTCGCAGGATTGCTAGTATCCAGTGGCAACACTATGTTAGTAATTCTGAGGTAAGACACCATGTGTATGGGCATTCATTCAATAAGTCAAGTCATCTGTAAACACCGGTTTCCGTGGCTTGGACATGTGTTACGCATGTCATCCCAACGGCCTCCATACCATTCATTGATTGCCAACCTTGAGAGTAGATGGAAGAAGCGGGAATGGTCAATGTGTGACATGGCGCCATGGGATGAAGCATAGTTGTATCGGGTTACCATCTGTTGGTGCATCACAACTCCCTGGGTGTGGCCCGAGAGATCATGCAACCCAGTAGCTTGAAATGTTATCAGACGTGGCTCAGAATCGAAACCAGCAGCGGTCATACCATAGCTTTCTCCTATCTTCTGTTGCTGAAAAGTAATGAATATTCTCTTTTAAATATATCTGACTGGACTACCATTCTAATCATTCCATTCTTAGTGTGTTTTATTTTTATCCACTTCCCTTTGTTTATGTCTTCATAATTTTGTTATTTTGTGTGGCGCATTTCTTGATGCCGTTGCTGTAGCATGTTTATGCTCTAATAATAATAATCGGTTAGCATGGGAAACCGTACATTCCATGAAATTTTTGCAATGAACGTGAGCCATGAAGGGTAACGAAGACTTAAGAGATATAGAAAAAGTCAGCCACAACAGGTTAGAGAGAGGCACGATATTAATGTAGAACCTTGTACAGAAGTATACCGGTTTAAGTTCGCACGCTTCACACCAGCATGCGAAGAAATAGACAGAGAAAGAGTGAATTTAAAAACCAAGATTAGAGAATAGGTTACAGCAGATAATTATTTAGAATGATCAGAGAAAGTAGAGCAAAACGTCAATGGTTAGTGAGATTATAAAGGAAAAGAATGAGTAATTCCATTTTAGTTTGTTTATTAGTAATATCACACAGTGAAACACAGTAGCATTTACTGGTAAAGGCTACTGTTTCACTGTGTGATATTTCTAATAAACAGGCCAAAATGGAATTACACTCGACCACAGTGCCCAAGTTTTACACTTATATGAAAAGAATGGGTCTATGACTTATAAGTTAAACGAAAGGAGGAACAATAGATAAGAAATTCAGTGTACCTCTAGCTACCACTACGTTGTCCATTTTTCCGATCGGATCCTGAACGAAACACTAAGGTGGACACTCTCATACTTGCAGAAGTTGAGAAAGGTGTAAACAACTTAAAATGAAGAAGGATAATAAGTTAGCAACAAAAATACTTTGGAACTGAAGTGTCAACTAGCATATGGATATCACATATGATCTCTTAAGATTGGAAGCAAGCGCTGATTGTCCAAGTCTTTGAAGAAGGAAAGAAACCTTTCTATGATAACCAAAAGGGAATCATTCTTATGAATGTAGGTTTAGGAATTATTAGACACTTGAATGAAGTTCGGCAACACCAAACCGGACGAAATCAGGCAAGTTTCAAACAAAGTCTTAGGTGCACGAACCAGATACTCATCTTCCGACAGGTTCTGTAACACTGGTATACTTATCGACCTCCTGACACTAGTTGTATTTCTCGGCCTGAGGTGACAGTGGACTCTTCAGATCGAGGTTTGATGGGAGTCACACTGATGAGTACCAAGTAAGTCCATTACCATAATAAAGACAGTACACTCGAACATCCATTGACGTGTTAAATTCTGTGGTAAGGTGGCAGGCGAGTTGTGTGCACAAATATGTCCAGTGTCTCAATTGTCATGTCACAGATGTACTTAATGAACTGCACCCCACATAATCTGACTTTCTAGGGATTCAACTTGTCACAAGAAACTTCTTAGTGGTCATAGAGTACGCAGATGATACAGTTCTCTTCGGTAAAGACACTGACAAGTTTCAGTCATCTGAACACCTAGTGCTAAAACGTCCACGACAAAATATCAAAGCTCATAGAACTCCAAACCGCCATCATCCTCATCCTGAGCTGCAAATCTTTTCCATCATTTCAAAGCCTTAAATGGTAATTTGAGTATTTTAGCAGCAAGCGCTTCTCACCACTCAGAAGCAAACTGTTGTCGCAGGACTGGTCTTCAGCGGTGCCGCAGCCAACAATAAGAATCAAGTGGTTGAGCGAGTTGACTACTTCACTTACCTGGGACATTTGATTAGTTCTGCTGGGTCAGTGATCGATGAAATCTCGACACAGATACAAAAGGCTTGTTGGGCTGTCGCCAACTACTGCCATTTATGATTCCATCATGATAACCGACTACCCATTAGGGTCGAGCGTACTACGATGCAGTTCACTCTGTCCTACTGCGAGATATGGCCATTAGAGGTAGAGGATATGAGAAAGTTTTAGCTTTTCGACCACCAGTGCCATCGCAGTATTATCTGCGTTGTGCTGTCACCATATCAATAATGTAGGGAGCACAGGAAACTCAGTTGAAGAGGTTGTCAGCCTTCATCGACTTAAATAGCTGAGGCATGTGTTACAGATGTCTAGTCACCATCTATCGCACTGAGCAATCTTGGTTAACGTAGGTTCGGCCTGGAAGAAGGTTGCTGATGACCAGAACAAAATATGGTACCAGTTCATGAAGTTTGTGATTGTTGGTCTGAGCAGTGTAAAAAAATGTAATTTCGGTAGTTTGAGACTATAGGCGACGTAACTCAGAAACCATTTCAATGGTCCAAATGCACCCACACATTACCTTCATCTTAGTCGTCATCCCGTTACTGTTTCACTTGTTTTTCTCTTTTCACGATGCTTCACAACTTTTGGTTGCTTCCTTCTTTATTTATGCATTTTTCATTTTGGTTCCTTCTACTGTGACGCACCGTTAAGAGGTGAGGCAGCTAGGAGTGTTACAAAGTAAAGCCAAGTTCCATGTTGATGCTGCCTGACAGGAAAACATGAAGTGTCGCAACTTGAACCGTTGTATTTCTATGGCAGGTCCTATGCTTGTTTGTCTTTTTGCCTGAACCATTTGCCTCTCTAAATTGATGCCATCAGTTACAGGGTATATGGCTTGATGTGAATTCCTACGTGACATTTCACGTTCAAGCACTTGATTAATTATCGTCAGATGAATTTGACGTGGATCAGTTAAGAAGCAACTATGAGATGAGAAACGCATCCCAAACATTCTCCAATTGTCACTCTACCTGTTAAACGAAATTGCATCTCGTCATGGTCTTCACTTAACAGGACTGGGTTGTGTGGGTGTCAAGGTTAATGAGACACAACAGCTGCATATAGCACTGGGTACTGTGCAAGAAATCACGCAATATTATATTTAGGCTAATAAAACGGCTTGAACGCTCAAAACTCACTACTTGGAGTGAAATTTAATGATCCACTAGTTAAAACTCAACTTCCCAGTAAAATGAGCCATGGATTCAAAGAGAGATTTCGAAATGCAAAATTATTCTTTTGGAGCTTTCATTATGTAGCTAGGAATAAACAGAGGGGACAACCAACCGCGATCCGACAGAGAGTAGTGAATGGCACACCCACACTGGTAGCACTGCAGGAACTCCCAAATTTTCGTAGTACCTGTAGTTAACCGAAAAAACTCATGACACTGACCACACAAATGAATAACCACACTCTGACCCTGAACCTGTCTAAGAAATAAAGCATGATGGTAGCTTCACAAGTTTTCCAGAGTAAATTTAGCCGTCTATCTTTTACAGGTAGTGAATATTCCAATACGTTTTAAAAAACCGGAGACAATATTTCATGAGAAAGCCAAATAAGGCATACGAAGCAGAAGGAAATCGAAGAAAGAGGTTACGTTATTAGCAGGAGTAGGACTGTGGTCCATTGGACTAAGCACTCGACCACCCCAAAGTTACCAGGAATAAATTTACAAAGCAAATGTATATCAGAGAAACATACCAAACATGTCGCCCTCATGGTGATAACACGTAATTTCAGTGGCTAAAATGTCGTGTAATAGTGTATAATTGGGATGAGAATGGAATGTATTATGCCACATAATATTTAAGTCAATCTTATGTGCCACTTGAAATCACCAGCTGTGCTTAATATAACTAAAGCTTCTCTATCAAAGGAACCACCACATCATCTTTACGATTAACATCCCACTTTTCTAGAGTTAAAGGTGCACCTAACTAGTACATCAGCGTCATGCTAAACAAAGACTCTAATGAAATAAAGACATCGAGAGCCCTAAATGTAGACTTGAGATATCCGGCAAGGAAATAAGTCTTGTCCTGCTATCAAATGTAGGCATCAAAACGAAAAAGTACGAATTTCTCACCTCAAATTACCTTTCTTTGAAATGCTATTGTCCATTGTTGATGCACTCTTAGAAACGCCTTTGTTGTGAGGTAACTTTCCACCTAGTAAGTGTAATGAAACACTTTTGTTGCTGGTACCAATGCTTTTTAGTGTACTTTTGTAAATATCATTCCCATCGCCCTCATCCTCCGAAGACTCTTTTATCAACTGTGTAGGTCTGGAGTCAGTATCTGGAGTGCCTTGGTTTTCCGAAGTAAGGTGCCTTTGTTGACAGTCTCGAGAAGTCTGTAACGAAATCAAAAAACTGAGTTCAGAAAGTTACTTAAACAACTTTAGCAGTACCTTTTACGTGTAGTGAAACCAACTAATGAACATCATCAATATCAATATAGGAGCAGGCATTACTTAATGCGTAACGGTCCGAGTTGCCACAGTTCATATCAGTACATTGAGTAAAAAAGTAGTGAGGCCCAAGATGAATATAAGAAAATCCAGTCAAAAGAAATATAAAGTACGAAAAAAGAGAAACGAAGAATGAGAAAATGGTGAGATTCGGTATAGTGTCGTTAGTGTGAGGATAATGTGTGCATACATCTGCGCCACTGATATTGGTTCTCAGTCACAAAACCTAGTCTCCAACCACTGGTTCCTCTTGTCCCACAGACCCCAACCACTCAGTCCGCACCGCCCCATATGGCTCAAACCAACAGTCAGAAACTTCATACACTGGTGCCACGTTTTAGTCTGGCCACCTCGGGCCTTTTTCCAGCCTGGACCTACTTCGACTAACATTGTGTGACGAAGCAGTCGGTGACTAGGCATACGTAACACATATCCCAACCATCTCAGTCGATGAAGGTTCATAACCTCGTCAACTAATTTACCTCTACTCCCTAAAACTCTGTACCTGACGTCCGCGTTACTCACATGGTGACACCACGGAATACGCCTATACTAGAAAGGCAACGGTCGTCAAACACCTGAAGCCTTCTCATGTCTTCGACCTTCGATGGCCATGTTTTTCACAGCTATACAGTAGAACAGACTGGACTGTTGTGCAGTACACGTGACCCTCAATAGACCATCGGATATCACGGCGGTGCCACATGTGGCGTAAGTTGTCGAAAGCCAGCCTAGCCTTTTGTATCCGTGCAGAGATTTCATCGGCCACTGAGCCACTAGGGTTGATCCTAATCCCCAAGTAAGTGAAGCGGTCGACACACTCAACCACTACACTTTCTATTATTAGCAGCAATAGGGCCCCGTTGAAGACCAATCCTGGAACAACAATTTGCATTTGGGCGGTGAAAATCGCATCCCAAACATTCTCAAATTCCCACTCAAAGTGTTCAGAAGATTCTGTATTTGTCAGTGTCCTCATCTAACAGGACTATGTCATCTGCAAATTCTAGGTCGAGTGAAAATCCACCTGTGATTGGGTCAACGTCTTTGCACTTAGGTGACGAGAGGGAAACCTCCATAAGAGTATCTACGATGAGATTGAATAAGAATGGAGACAGTGGGCACCCTTGACGGACACCACTTGATGAGTATAGCTCCCTGGACATCTCACCATAGGCTCTAACGTGCCCACAAGTGTTCGAGTAGAGAGCCTTCAATAAAGTGATGTACTTACTCGGCACGGCTTTCAGTGAGAGACATTGCCATAAGACTTCTCGATCAACGGAGTCGAACGCCACCTTCAGGTCGAGAAATACAGCTAGTGTCGGGCGTCTGTAAGCGTGCCTATGTTTCAGAACCTGGCGCAGTGTGAACATTTGGTCGATAAGCTCGTGGCCGGGCCTAAAGCCTGTCTGGTTTTCTCGGGCTTGCTTTTCCCGAGCTCCACTCAGACGTCGGAGAATTACAGAACCTAGGATCTTGGACACTATGTTCGTTAAGCTGATTCCTCTATGGTTATCGCAAGAGAACTTCTCGCCTTTCTTGAAGACTGGGATAATCGGGGATTTAGACCAGTCAGAGGGGATCGTATTTGATTCCCATATACTGGTTAAGCCCTTCCTCGTTTCAGGTTACCTACTGCTTTCACGACTTCTGCTAGTGTTGGGGGCCTATCTCAATGTTCCATTCAGGATGCGACTTGATAGCGGGCAACGTAATGGTGGCTGGAGGCCAGTAAGACTGCTCCTCGAAGTGTTCTGCCCATCGTTCCAGTCGTCTCCCCTGCGAGTTAATCGCAGATTCGTCCTTCGCCGCTATAGCCTCACTGTTGTTGACGTTTTCCCCCCAGTTTCCTTAATAAGTCTAAATAACTAAACTATCTACTGTTACCAATCGCCACCGCCTTTTCCATCTCTTTAGCCTTCACTGCCCACCACTGTTCGCTGTCGTTGCGTACTTTTTTTCAATCTACTTTTAAACTTTGCCCCCTCTTCATTGTACTCAGAGCCTGCAAGGATACGTTCACGTGCATCCATTAGTTCAGAAGAAGCTGCAGATATCCACTGGTTCTTATTAGCCACTATTTGGGAGTCGGCTACGGTCCTCAGCGCTGCTTTTACAGCAGACTGGAAATGGCACCAAGCCCCTTCTAGGTGAGCGATAGCTTTTTGTTCCGATAACTGCCTAGCCAACTTCTCAATAAACACGGCTTTGGTGTTTCCGTTGTCCAGCAGCACTCGTAGTGGCTTCATTGCCAAACTTTTCTTACGTCCATTGAGACGCTGGCATTTACGCGATCGGACCAACTCGTGGTCGCAATCTAAACACGTACTCCAGAAGGAGTGGCAGTATTCCACCGATCCTCTCCACAGATGACTAATAGCAATGTGGTCTACCTGTGTCCATCGCTGAGTTGAGCTCGGTGGACGCCACCTCAGACAGTGTCTTTCTTTATGTCTGAAATTTGTGCTAGCTAAATATAGGCGGTTATCTGAGCACAGTCATTGTTGGCGATCACCGTTATCTGTACGTCCAGCCGGGACTCCGAAAGTGCCACCTAAGTGCCTTTCTGCCTTACTCAGTCTACCCACCTGTGCATTGAAGCCACTTGCAACAACCACTACGTCCAAACGTTTAGCTTTCGAACGGAGGCTAGACACTTTTCAGTAGAACTCGTCCTTCACTTCATCCGAACTACAGTCAGTGAGTGCGTAAGCAGAGATTACAAAGAGTTTTACTGTGCCGTTCAGCCTCATAGCGCAGAGGTGACTATCAACTGGGATCCAGTCTAGTACTGAGTTTTCTGCCCTAGGGCTTAGTGCTACGCCTACACCTGCAAGACCACGAGAGCTAGCCGTGGAATCTCCAGAAACTCGAAGGGTGAATTTCGCGGACTCACCAGATTGGCCGGGATAGGTCAGGTGAATAACCGCACTTGGGTCTTGTATGCGTGTCTCACAAACACAGCACACATCCATGCACCGAGTTGTCAGAGTCTTTGCCAACGAAGCCTGTTGACCAATTTGACAGAGGGTGTGGACATTGAAGGCTCTAATATGTAATTTGGAGCGTGGTTTAAGGAGACCAAGGATGCTGTTCTGTGGACTCAGATAGTTGCCGAAGGCTGCAGAACTAGGAGAAATTGGAGATGATGTAGTATTGTTAATTGAAAGACGTGAAGGAAGATTACAAGGTAATGATGGGAGAAGTGGATAGCAGTCTGAGGAAACTTGAGTGCTGACAGAGTTGTGAGGGCGGTTGACACTTTCCGGCTGTCTACACCATGGAAGGCTATTTCTTCCCAAGGTACCTGAAAGAGATTTGTGCGACCGCAGAGCCCGTCGGACATCTGCTTGAGGCCTGTCACACTCAGCCTTTTGTGTATGATTATTTAGAACTTGTATTTTTGGGGCCGGATGGTCAAAAGAAACAACAAACGAACCAACACCGAAGGCCCGGCAGACCGTAGTGTATGGCGGAGTATTTTATTTTTGGGGCCGACCTTCTATACCACCCCCTTTCACTGAGAAGGCAGCATTAGCATGGCAATGCTGGTCATCCAAGGGAAACACTTTACTGCTGTCATACCCCATTCAGTCAGCAGCAGTACGACTTCGCCCTCAGATCCCCACCATAGTGTAGTAATTTACACCACAACGGTAACTGCTTTTCGTCTAACCACTATCCAACAGACCTTTCTGGTATGGTAGGACGTCGACGGAACAAGTGTTCCACCAGGATAGTTCGTTGGATCATTGTGATATGCAAGCCTGACGACCACGTCAAGGTAGCAGCTTTCAGTCGTTTCTATATCCTTAGATGACCTCGTTCAGAGAAAACAAAATAGCATATTGAAAGTACGAAATGGGCCAATCAGCGTTTAGTACCCTAAACCGCGGTAAAAATAAGTAACAGCATGGCACAAAAGGGGTGCGAAAATAAGGTTTAAATTTTACAATGACAATATACACATACTATAAGTTAGTTGCCCTAGAGATTAGGCATCCCTAACAGCAAGATCGGCAGGAGCTTATGTATGCACTCACCTTTGGTGGTGAGCCGTTGGAAGTATTTCCATAATTGTGTGAGCGCTGATGGAGGTGTGAGTAGTGAAATTTCCAACTCCATACCGAAAGCCAGAGTGCCATACGGCAATATCGGCCACCTTCGGCGCTGTTGCAACATTAGTCTGACCGTAAAAGGTCGGGTTTACGTTTCAGTGCGATCAGTTCTGCTCAACGCCTATGAAATCTAGCCACTCCGAGCTGAGGATTTGCAACGACTGTGTGTTTAATCATCGTTGTCTTCGCAGGATTGCTAGTATCCAGTGGCAACACTATGTTAGTAATTCTGAGGTAAGACACCATGTGTATGGGCATTCATTCAATAAGTCAAGTCATCTGTAAACACCGGTTTCCGTGGCTTGGACATGTGTTACGCATGTCATCCCAACGGCCTCCATACCATTCATTGATTGCTAACCTTGAGAGTAGATGGAAGAAGCGGGAATGGTCAATGTGTGACATGGCGCCATGGGATGAAGCATAGTTGTATCGGGTTACCATCTGTTACCAATCCTGGAGCATCACCTTTATTATGACAGGTCCGAAATGCAAGTCGAATATACTCAGATTTCTGCTAAAGGTGTTTAGAAGACCTCGCATTTTGCCAGTGTCTTCTACTATCAGGACAATATAGTCTACATACTCCAAGTCAACCAAATAACCTCTAGAGAAAAGGTCAACCCCTATAAAGTCAGATGTACTTAAGGTTATGTCCATTGGCAAGTCTATAATGAAGTTAGATAAGAACGGTGACAGTGGACAACCCTAGTGGACATTACTGGCTGCCGTCAATTCATATGACGACTCTTCATAAGCCCTTTCACGGGTGTGAGTTCGAGCAGAGAGCTTTGATAAGAATTATACACTTGCTCGGTACTCCCTTCACCCCCCAAACACTATCACAACACCTCATGGTCGACAAAGTCCGTGAAATAGAGTTAGCAGTAACCATTACAATTTTAAGCACATTATCATGTCGAAGGTTACTAAGTAATGGTAGATAAATCAATATGGAACCTTCCATACAAGTGCATCTAGTTCTATTTGCCATAACTTGCAGCAGCATACAAAAAGGTAGGCGAAGAACGATAGTGAAGTAGACAAAATGTAGGGGAGGATAGAGATTATAAAGATGACTGTTATTAAAAGTGCTCACACTTGATGGAAGTGTACAGTTTTGCAACATATTACTGGTTGCCGCATTCGTAAGCAGAAAATACCGACTATTATGGATACCAATTTACTTGTTGAAAGCTGCATCCGCAAGCCGACGAAACAATTTCAGTATGGACTAACTCAACAAGAGAATTAGTACATACGGATAAGTGCACAAACATGCAACAAAATACTAGCAAATCCAAACAGTAGCGAACAAGGCTTTTAACGGTTATTGATCATGACTGCCATGTAGATGAAAATTGACTGGTAAAGTTTAAATGTCGAGGTTTAACTTTAAATGCTTGCACGATTGGTTTCAAGAAGCTAAATGCAAAGATAACGGTAACAAATTGGACCATAAAACTGACGTATCCAAAGAGAGCTAAGTATTCTCATTTCATGTTCGTAACTTGATTAGATGAAGTGAAGAATTTCACATCTCACTACAGAAGCTGAGAGTACTGGTAAAACGCCTGAACTGATGACTCTAATTAACGCAATATACTCAGACTAATTAGACTCAGTGAGGAAAAAGTATAGAGAAAGCGATAGGAATATATGCTGAATACAAGTGATTCGTAGGTCATTCCTGATCCCATACACCAAAGGCACTTTCAAATACATGAAAGACTATTACGAGAATGAATATTATTCACACCACCGGATTATGCGATAAAACTACGACGACGAAAAACAAACAATCATACCACAGATTTAAGGTACCATTAAACAACGCCATTAGAGAAATATAGGGTACTCCCCTTATAGATGGATAAAATAGCTTCATCCTTCTGTAAAATGTCATAGAGAACAAAATGAAAGGGGTAGTGTTTCCGAGAATAAATACTCCGAGAGCGGAACTATAAAACTGTGCTTTCACTATGAGACTGTTACTCGATTATGACGGCGGCACTGTGAAAACGGTTGCTCATTTCAATGGAAAACGAAAGGGAATTACAGTGAGTATGGTTGTTACATAATGTTTAGAAACTGATGTTTTAGTGGTTCCTACTACCTGAAGATGAGGTGTGTACAAGAAAGATATTCTGTTATTATATAGCATTAAACCCCATGAACTGGGAAATAGATGAGAAAAAACCTTTAAAAGACTCTTTATCATCTCGATATTTAAACAGGTCCGCGAACAAAGACCTATACAGTTACTAGACGAGTAAAATTAAGTACTTAGCATAGGACGACAGATCTCAGATTACGAAACTTTAAAATTGAGACATAAAGCTGCTTTATCACTCGATCGGTAGGAAGAGTGATGTATGAATTCATTGTTAAGTGCGTGGACATCGATTACCAAACTTAATAAAGGCTTAGAAAAAAAAAAGAAAAGGAGTGTCTTATCGATCAGTTTGGACATCCCTCACACGGAAAAACATTTGGCTTACATATCTAAATAGTCAGAAACAAAGATTATACAGGCTCACATACACTGGGTGCATTTTGAGATTCATACATAAAACGATAAAAACCACCGAGACCGTCTTGTTTGCGAATATCCATAACGTCCTCCCACTGTTCGGCTTCTGTTTGCTTTTTTACAAGTTCACGAAGTTCATTTAGTTTATTCTTGTAAGCTGGAGTGACAAACGAATCCTTTTCACCGAACAAATCAGCTTCCGTTTCAATATCCTTCTGGGCTTTCCTTTCTGCACACAACTCTCTCTCAAGTTTTCGCTCATTGGAGGCTTTTATGAGTCTACTTACGTATTTGGACTGAAAAGTTATCACCTAAATCTCTTACCTTCCTGGAATTCGGCGCACAAATATCCTTCGACTTTTTTTCATGTATTTCATCGAGGATTTCATCGTATTGGAAAATTGAAGGGTCCTCCTCGTAGGCTTTCTCTAAATCTGTTTTCGTCTGAATCTTTATCACTGGTGTATACAATCTTACTTTGCGGTTGATCCTGCTCTGAGTAATGCTCGTAGTTCCAGAATGATCAATTTTTCTCTGGGTCAAATATTGAAGCAAGTATAGTTTACTTACGAACTCCCGTTCATCTTCTTCATCAGATTCTGCATTGAAAACAGAACTCAGACATAAGTTCTGTTCACCTTTGAGCTGGCGAGTTGGGAAACTAAGACCATAAACTTTTTCAGAATCCTGATTCATAACACATGTCAAGGACGTATATCGAATATATCCAATATCCAATATTGATAGTGCGAGCGTAGAAAACTGGTAGTTTTTGATCTCTCGCGTCTAGTTCTTAGGGCTTGATTCCAGTTGTTCGGTTTACTCCTGAAGTGGACGAGGAAATACCCTCTGCTTTCTTGCTTTTAGCTTCGGTGAGATGAATGTTTTGTGGGTTAGTAGGTTGTAATTTGTAGAATGATTAGGGAGCTACGGGTTGCTGGGAAGTTTAGAGAACTGCCATGACTCCTGTCTGTGTAGGTACCTGAAAGATAATAGTTAGGTAGTGGTAAAGGAATGAAGAGCGAAATAAGGAAGAGAAAAAAAATAATAATGTAGGGAAGAGAAAAGGGAAGGAGAAGAAAAGGAGGGGTGAAAAGAGAAATGAGAACGAAAGAAAAGTATTTGGGAACTGCCCGACTGGTCGCACGGATGTTCCATTTTTCCAACGTTCCATTTCTAGACAGTTTAACTCGTTATTGACGGAATAGAGAAAGCTCTCACTTAACTGACTTCCACATCTAGGATCAGTGGATCACTAATTGCTTTTGTTGCAGATCTGGGCACAAACTTCAAACTTCGTGTTGTAGAATAAGCGAACTGCGGCTCCTTGGGTTCTACGTCTGTCTTACTGGAACACAAATAAAAAGAGAGAAAAAGGCGGAAGATCAAGTCTCGAAATCTAGTTATAGTTTTAGACCTCGTATTGCAGAATTAGTGAACGATGGTTCTCTGAGTTCTAAGTCTGTCTTATGGGAGTGTTATCTAGATTTAGAATGGTCACAATTCCCTTCCTGGCTCCAAGAAACCTGAAACGGTGGAATTTATCGGTTCCGAATTGACATTGTCTCTAGTTAACTTTACTCCTGATCTACAGATGACAGAAAAAGCGACGCAAGTGCAGCCCATCGGTACCACAAGACTCTAAATGTGCATCTGACCCACTTTCAAAATTGTCTGGGAATGGGACTGTGACAACTCTTGAAGGAAGGATGTTACCCAGTTTACAAACTAACTGCAAACACCTAGGCATGGATCCTTGTACGTGCTCTCATGCTCTACTCCCAACGGATGATCACTAAGCTGGCCTTTTTAGATCAAGGCTAAGGAGGAATCTATCAGGATGAAGGGGATTATGGGAAATGTAGTAGACCATGATCAGATCCCCTCTGATCCTCCAATACTGTACTGGATGCAGCTTTAGAGCAAGCAGGCGATCAGAATTAAGGTTTGTACCCTAAACCAATCGTCTTCTTCGTAGCTCCACTTTGAACCCTTCATAGAGTGCCTGTATCCCCCTTCAAGTGCCAGTACATTACAAGCGAATATTTTTAAGATGTGGACGAATAGAGTCCATTCACTCTGGTGAAAGACTCCCTAAAGTTCACAAAAGAAATCACAAGGCTCTCTGGGCCTTGTTGACTGCAAGGCGATAGAGGACCAAAGCTCTAAATGTGCAGCTTAAATTAACTCCCAGACCTCGTTCTATTTTTGAGTGACGGATATTTGTCCCACCTAGAGAGTAGGAACTGGAACAGTTTTTAGTTAGTTTTGAGTGAGCTCACAAGCATATCGTAAGTAGTTATCATGTCGGTGCTTAAAAGGTTACGACGAAGTAGCCTTGATCGCTACTACAGGAAGAGCCTTCCTGGTTCTGACACATACATCATGCTATCTAATATCCAATATCTGGTACCTTTTTAACGAGCTTGCACATGCCGGTTGATTTCTTCGTGCTCACCTCCAGGTTTCACGGAATGACTCCGGGTGTTCGGCGGATTCTGATGCATTATGTCCTGCCACTCGTCTGCTGTGGCTCAGGTGTACCCAAAGGGTAGTTGGGTGTTGATCAGTTTGCCCGGGGCAGTGGTGCACTTGAGTTATTCAGATGTCCAGTGGCAGACAGCTATTTGGATTGGATGCGAGACAGAGTTGAGAATAATGAAGAGATAACCTAGGAAGACAAATGTGCGTGGATAGAAGACAACGAAAGATATAGTGATGGAGTAATCTACATACACCCAGGATGAGAGAGTTCCGGAGGTATGCAGAACTCAGGCAAGTGAGGTTAAGTCATAGCGACTAAGAGGGGTGGGAAGAACTTACTTGGTGGGGTAGGAAGAGAATCAGTGTGGAGGTAACAGTGTTGGAATGGTATGACAGGAGTTGGTTTCTTCGGCCTAAATCGTGTTCCATCTAGATGAGCGTTAATCGTGGGTCAGCGAGTAACTCTCTGGTCTTTCCTTGAAACTATAAGCAGATGGGGCGGAGGCTACCTCTGATGGTAAAGTATTGCAGCTCTCACAGGCTGGAAAAGAGAATAGGTGGGAACGTACACGAGTTTTTGACCTGCAGTGGGCAATATTATTCGGGCCACCGTAGTGGCAACTGGGCAGTAGTCCCCTCTTTGAGTGGCTTGGGTTATTTGGTATTTTAATCCCAACTGAATGCATGGTACTACCAATATTCATAGATGAGGTTATCCCATCAGGCCTAAAGTATGTTTTGGGAACACTCCGGCTGGAGAGCTTTCTAGATATTTGGCGAGAGCGATAGACTCAATGAAACACAGCGGTCGATATCGCCATAGAGGCAGTTAGAAATGAGCCCCAGGTTAACAATAAATTTAAGCACCGAACTAAGGTACCGGTAGAGAAAGTTATGCTAGGAGTACGGTCGTGCCTAATATCTGCGGTATTGAAGTTTCAAAATAAAATATACGAGTAGCCTGAAGAGGTTGCCATGGGATCACCAATGTTTCCTACCGCCACAGATATGCTCGTCGATATTTGACAACAGATGGACCTTCAAACGCATGGTCCTACTCCGAAGGTGTGGTTTCGATACATAGGTGACACATTTACAGTGACGAAATGTGATCTACCCTCGTTTGGTTTATGCCCCATCCTTGCAGCGCCCTTTGTGGTCCGTCCTCAAAGTTTCCACGAGAAGTTCGTGCCCCCTTACAGGTGCGGTGGAGCGAAGACGTTGAGGACCTCGAGGCGGGATCGCAGAGAGAGACAGAATAGGATAATTTCTGTTAATCAGGAGTGCAGAAAGACACTGGCCGGCATTTATCCGGGTTCAATGCCAATTCGTCATTTTTCGTCCACTCTTCAAGTGTTTTGATGTCGTCTCCTAGTGTATTCTACTCCGTTTCGCATGTTACTGCCCTCCATAACCAGACGTCGCCAGCGTAAAGGAGAACAGGAGGGTTGACATGCAGTGGGAGGTCATTCACAGACAGTAGAAAAAACGATGGACCTGTAACTGCTGCTTGTGATACGCTGGGCGGTGATGTTCTCCAGGTTTAGTGGATCATGCTGACTTTCATGAGGGGTTCCCCACTGTCTAAGTAGTTCTGGAGCCAAGATGGCACCTGGCCACGGATACCCACCCTAGCTGTTCCATGTGTTAGGATGTTCTGTGAGACCGTCAAAGACTGGCGAAATCCAGGAAACCACTTGGATCGGGACCCCAGGGTACCAGTATGTTGACCAGTGGTCAAGGGCTGTCAGTAAGTCGGAGGCACAGGACCTGTATCTTCGGAAGACGTTCTGAGCGTCACTGAGTGCTAGTTTTTTGCCGTGTTCCCTCATGCAGCTGTCAATCACGCTTTCCTTAACCTATGGTATTACTTACCGAAGCGCTATAGGTCAGTAACAGTTTGGGTCCTGCCCGTTCTCTCCCTGGAAGATAGGAGCGGGATGCCGCTTTTTCACTCCCGAGAGAGCTTTTCTTCATCCAGGGATGTTGTATGCCCATCCAGAACCAGCTGACTATTTCACATTATCGTCTCAATTACTGTTATTAATAATATCCCTCCGATACAATGATCGCTTTGTCTGAAAGTGTTGTTCTGGCAGTGAACTTGTTGCAAAATTACATTCTGAGATTTGCATGCTGTTATGCTTTACGCTTGAAAGGAAGCTACTGTCGTTATTCTAATCAAATATTGCAGAGTGGGCCACTTAAGGTACTCACAAGACCATTTTCAGTCGCCTATTTTCACCGTAGATGTCACCAAGGTAGAGCGGAATTCCAAACTTCCGTGCAAGCGGTCATCATGTTTGGCTTGTTTTCACAGTGCCAAGTAACTCCAGATAAAAGTCGGTTTTACCTTGAATACACATGCTTCTTCATTCACAGAACACAAGGACCTGAAATGATAATATACAGAACCAGTTAGTATTCACGTAATTATGTAACCTAAGTGAACATCAGTGTCCAAGCATTTCCTACACCTCAAGTGCCAACGTTCAGAGAAATATAAATTTAGCCGTCAGAATAAGATGTCACCAAACAAAATAATAGACATTTCAAGGAATACAAACCGAAAGCAGTGGATTATGTATACTGTGCTCGGAAAAGTATGCAGGATCAAAAAGAAGATACGATCATTGGTGTACGAAAACCAAGGGAATTAGGCTGCGTCGAAAGATAAAGAAAGTAGTCCAGGCGCACGCCGTGCCTGCGATCGAGGGACATCTGTGGTAACCAAAGAAAATGCCAGAAGAATTGTGCCAAGAAAAGACTGTTATGTTACTCAATAACAAACTATGCTAATTGACAACGTCGGCTGGTTATAACGCAAGTTTCGAACCCTGAGCGCGTTTGCTCCTAATGGTGGAACCTGTTTGAGTGACGCGGATTTAACACCCACCCCCGTCTCGTAAGTTTCAGCAAATTCTAATAAGATTACGCGCATCAACGACTTGATATGTTAGTTATTTGATGTCAAATACCATTTTGTGAACTTTCATGAATTAATAATTTCACGATGCTTGTAAACTGGTATCACTCACGTTAAGTCCATTACGTGAGGATAACATTTATTATTATCTCAACTTTTACACCCCATATGCGCTGGAAAGTGATATTTTCTTGTTCTTTTCATAGCCAGCAGGATCTCCTGCTGTCTTCAGTAGAATTTGATGGCATTCCGTCTATACCATTCATGACTCAAAAAATCTCCTAGA